TAGGAACTGCAGATGCAGCGAGTGCATCACGGGGGAGAGATGTTTGCTCAGATCAAAAACGTTTAGATATTCAGTACCAATAGAAACACTGAACAACCTAAGTAGCAAACCTGCAAGAAAACAGCAGAGAGTACAAAAGATAGCATATTAAAGAAGAAGTGAGAAGAGACATAAATCTCAAGTTTTAATCTAGTTTTGCCCCAATGTGTAAAATAAAATTGCTTTCTCACCTGCATTTCTCACTAAGTTCATGAGTATTTTTAGTTTTTGACTTTTCAGCTGCTCTTTAACAAGGGTAGTTTATTCATCAGTAAACATGCCTGTTCATGACTCTTAATAAATAGCTCCCCCTTGCCCGGCGTCTGATTCTTTGGTTATGAAATGGCAGTTTACTAGGCAGCTGTGTCTCAACAGCATTATCGTTTGGAAGCAGAATAAATACAGGCACTGCCAGCTCCAGAGTCCAACACAGAAACAAGCCCCACCTTGTTTCTCGTTAAGAAATGCCTCCTGTTTGCCTGATTCTGGCAGAAGCCAGGCTCAGAGATCACAGCAAATGTCTGCAACAACCTATGTTTAATGTGGTGACACTAATGAATTCTGAGAATTAATCTTCAATCAAGAATGCATGATGGAAGATACTAGAATTCCAGATTACGTAATGGATTAATTTCCTTCAAGGCTGAAATTTGCTTCGTTTTTCTTCTAGTGAACTTTTCTGTCATATTCAAACCTTCATGGACTTGTAAACCCAGGGTAAATCCAGCTAATACATCTCATGGTAGTTTTAATTTTTTTATTCATTCATTTTTTTATCTTAGCACAGGGATAACCACATCTAAACCCAGATTTTAAAAAGTGATTTTAAAAAATCTGGGACTGAAGGAAAGAATTATTTATGATTTTAGAAAAAAAGTTCTTTTCCATCAAACCAGACTAATGTCTAGTACTAATGTCTCACAGCAGAGCTTCCAAGAATATCATTTTCAGGGCCCTGGTTCCATTGATACAAAAAAGGATCTGTGGCCAAGTAAGTTTAGAAACAAGGACTTACACAAAATAAAGCTGTTTTCTTTATCTTCTTCTGATAACATTTAATATGTTCACATGCATTGTGAAACTCCACTTACTTGGTTTAGAGAATCACCAATGTTTCCCAAACTTTTTTGACCAGAAGACTAGTTGTATTTTTCAGTGGAATGTCTTGTGTGTCTAGTGTCTCACCAACTTACCTCACCCTGGTCAGCCCTCATTTCCCATATGGAGGTCAACGTTTTAAACATTCTCTTGTAAAAACTGCTCAAACCCTGGCTCGGAGAAAATATCCTACATCTGGAACTTGCAGTTCCTTGTTTTGTAAGCAATCGTGAAATGAAAAGCATATCATAACTTCCTTAGTTTTCCATGTTTGTTCTCCAAATCAAGTTAGAGGATTTAATCATACTTTTTAAAAGGACACGGAAGCCGTCAGGAGTTCTTATGAATCCCCGCAGTCCATTCTATCTTAATCCACCAAATCCCTGCCTGCAAGGAGAATAAGACAGAAATGACAAGCTGACAAACATAACACTATTAGTTTGGGGCACAAAACTTCAGCATCTTAAGCAATAAAATATGTGCCCTAGTTAAAGTTGGTAAAAGGATGAAAGCAAAGGATTGTTCTGAGGTGTTCAAAGCAGACAGCTTAAGAGGTAAAGGTCAACGTTCTGGTGGCCTCCTGAGTTCCTGGCTACACTGCTTGCTTAGTCTGGCTTCTTGTCTTGCTGATCCAATTTCCCAGCCTTGAAATGCCTTCTACTACATCTTCTCCACCAATTGAGTTCAATTTAGTTCCAGAACCTTCCCCTTAAATCTAACTCAGTTCTCACCTTCTCCACTGAGTCTTCCCTGACTGGAACTCCTCCTGTCCCAACACAACCTAGTATCGTTCTGCACCTTGTATCTGTGCCATTTTTAGCCACATGTTGGAGGAGTTCTCTCATGGGAGTCAGGGAATTGACCTCATCACTGTTGGGACTTGACCTCAACTTCCTCATCTCGTAAAAGAAGGGTTAAAATAAAAAATCTTGGTCCCTTAGCTCTGAAACTGTATACTTTTGTGTGACTATTTCTTAATCTAAATATATAAGCAAACACTGGCTTCTGTTTTTCCCTATGTTTCTTTTGTC